GAACGATCTGGGATTACCACTTCTTGCAAATGTTCCTGGTCAGAATATGGAGGTAATTTAATGGATTCTCTTCTAGGTGGATTTAATACCCACTTGGCTAACATCTATATATTGTGCAGTGTTGAGACCCAGTCGCCATCTTAAGCAGGTGGTTGGTGTATCTTGCATGCACAATAAATTGAGAAGCATTGTTGTCACCCTGAACCAACATCTGTTGTCTTTAGTGACAACGGCATGGATCCATATATGATTATTTGCATTGAATCCCAATATTATTCATTACCCATTTGATATATAATAAGCAGATCTCATTAAATAATGTTGCACTAAGCATTATCCTCCCTCTAAATTGGCTCTGCTCAACCTTGTCACATAACAAACTCTGGGTAGACAGACATTGTTAGGCCATCTTCCATTTCTGTAAAGGGGTTCTTTCAAGATTGTAGTTTTGAACAGGGGAAAAAATGGCAGTGAACAATAGCAATGGTCAAGATTCTTTTAAAGTATATTTGTTGATTTGTTTGCAAATGATTTTGCAAAGAAAATTGTTCAGTATGTTTGCTCTAGTTGGCAAATGAAATAACTGACATGCTGAGAGGCCTTGAGTTTGAGCAGCTTCTGAATATTTATATGCTTATTTATATGCTTGTTTATTTATGAAATTTATCTGCCTGAAACCGGCTGGGCTCTTTATAAGCTATAGAGGTTAAAGCGGGATAACAGTCAGAATAAAATTAGAATAGCCTCTAAAAGCAAAGAGCTAAAAAATGTAAATATATGGAGTGCTTGGTGCTCTCCAAGCTTCATTGTTTGCTGACAGGCATTACATTATATATTTATTTGCTTATTTGAAAGATTTGTATGGCCACCCACCTTAAACCGCTCTGGGCGGCTCGCAAGAATAGGAAAACCAGTAACTATAAAACAACCGTAAAACATTAAAACAGTAAAATGATCCAACCAAAACCCTCTGCCCTAGTCATCCCCTTGGGATGCCCCACAACAAGCTCCAATTACCTGATGGTCTTCCAAAAGGCCAAAAGGGTGGGGTCCTGCTGAATCACCAGTGGGAGGGTGTTCCATATGGTGGGAGCAGCCCCGGAAAAGACACGCTAGGTGGCAGGATTTCAGGGAAGGGATCTGGGGCAGGATCTGATCTAGTGGGACGGGCAGATATTCTTAGGGAGAGGCGGTCCCACAAATAACTGGGTCCCCTGCCCTGTAGGGCTTTAAGGGGATAAACAGCACCTTGAATTCCACCAGAAGGAAACTGGGAGCCCATGCACCTCACACAATAGAGGTGTAATATGGGCGAACCTATGAACACCCAATACTGTGTGTGCCACTACATTCTCTACCAGCTGCAACTTCCAAGTGGTCTTCAAGGGCAGCCCCATGTAAAGCGCATTGCAGTCATCCAAATAGGAAGTGTCCCTTTGGAACACTCTTCTCCTGGAAGTGAGGTTGGCCCCCTCCCATTTAGACTTCAGAAAAAAACTGAAGACCTGGTTTTGTCATCACGCATGGGGTGGGGTTGGAAATAGTCAGTTTTGGGGTTGGCTGGACCCCTAGTGTTACCTTTGACCAATATTATCTGGTCACAGGCTGAAATAATATCACCATCTCTTGGATTTTATTGTATTTAATAACTGCATTTTATATTTGTATCATTTATGTTTTTACTGATTGTAAATTGTTTTGTTGTGAACCGCCCAGAGTCCCTCCTTGTGGGGCAGTTGGGCGGTGATATAAATTTG